TGCCATTTCTATCGATGTGAGCATCTGCCACACCATTGCATCGCAGCATTTCCATTGTGATTGCAGGTCTGGACCGCCGGTTGGTGGTTGGCGTTACGTGCAGGGCTGAGGTTAAAGTCGATTGATGTGCTGTTGGTGTCGGAGGATGACTCTACGTAGGCAGAAAAAATCGCACATTTTAGTCCGTGCCACCACTATAATAAAACTCACTTATCCACCCCCTAAATTAGATACAATAACACACTAATTTACCTATTTTACAGCTATAGGGCGTATCTACAAGTCTACGGCTCGGCTAGTTACTCTATTAGGTTTTATTTACCCTAATAATAGGTTATATATCGAAATACTCTCTCGGTCTATTATTTTAGAACTACGTTTATTATAAGAGAAGGCTAATATATACGTCCCTTAAGAGGTTATCTATAACGTGTTTAAGTGAACTAGTATACGTAGTCTTATATTCGAAGCTAAAATACTCTCCGGACCTTCTACTATTCTCTCTAAGGTCTAGTTATAAATAAAGGACCTTCGACCATTAATCCTTATAGTATATATAAATCTACCGACCGAGTATAGATAATAGTAATCGTAAACTACCTTAATAACCCTACTATACTACTTAACGATAAAGGCTTACCTTAGCTCGATATTATATATAATACCGGAGTTATACTTAGCGTAGACTCTTAGATAGTATAGCGTATAATAAAACAAGACTTCGCGGTTATAAACGTAGTATATAAGGAGGAAAGGGACTTAATACCCGTATAGATAGATAAGTGGTACTTTTTTTATATTATTATACTTAGAATACCTAGTAAAGTTATAAGATAGCGTTTATATTTAATAGACTAGAATAACGTAGCCTTTTATAACAAGTTCTACTTTAGAATAAGCCCTTCGATTATAAAACAATTAAAGTAAAGAAGGGGTTATAAATATAGGTATAAATCTTATAACGTTTACTATAAGAAGCTATCTTCGAAGAGCGTTAAATCTAAGGCGCGAGAGAATAAGTATCTTAAGCTCTTAAAGGTCTTCGTAGTCATAGGATATAACTACTATAGAGTCTTTACGTATTAAGTCCTAAACAAAGTCGGAAAGATAACTATAAGCGTATATATCTAACTACCCGAGAAGCTACGTTATAACGTTAATTTTAAAGGCCTTATACTATACTAGGATATAGATTCCGTATATATATATAAGGTAGTTATAAAATAGGCTAAAAAAGTAAGATTGAAGTTATATACGCTCTTAGGAGTCTTACTAGACTTCTTAATTCTCGAGTCTCTTATATACCTAGTAAAGAGGTTATTTTATAAGTGTTAGACGACTACTATAGAGGTAGCCTATAAGTAATTCGTATAAGTATTCGAGGAACATCCTTAAGTTAAGATTTAAAAACTATATAGCTAGTGTACTAGAAGACTATATAAATGCCAGGAGCGTGGTAGGCAAATGATAAGATTTTAACTATAAATTTAGGTGTAGTGTTCTTATGTATAACCCTTATCGCTCGGTACGAAAATGTGCGATTTTTTCTGCCTACGTAGAGGATGAGCTACCTCTTCCCCCCCCGCTCCCCCTGCCCCTCCCTCTCTTCCTAACCTATCACGACTCACGAAGTGTGTCCGAGTACGTACTGCTAAGCAATGCATTCCAAAATATTTACTTGTCAGACCGGGTAGAGTACATTTTCCACATCTACGGACTATCAAACGCGAGCGCTACGAAACTGCACTCCAAGTACTCCTACTCCGACTTCGGACCTCGGAATAATTCTTCTGTGCACATCCACATCCACATCACATTTACCGGGTGCATTATCGTGTGTTCATCGTGCTGCTCATCGGAATTTATTCTCCATCTGCCGGCGCTGGCAGCAGATCTGTAGCATCGAAAAACGCCGTGCGCTACTTCTCTCATCCCAAGCGTTTGAATATGTCCGAGGATATGAATATAAGGATATGTGAATAACCTCATGGTTGTCGTGCGGAATTCTTGTTCGGGGTGAGCCTTCGACGTTTTCATTCTGTGCGACGCGGCTCGTGTCACGAAACGTAGCGGGTAAACCCGTCATATGAAATCGTGGTAAGTTACCGTGTTCCGAATCCGACATCCTCTCGGCGACAGCGGCCGAACATGGGGAGCTGGCCCTAGGGTATAAGGTACGGAGTAGTCGTGTGTACAGGTACCGTACGTACTTCCACCATCTGTGAAATTGCGGCGGGAACTGGCAAGCGAAGGAGAAGGAGACGCAACTGTCCATTGATTATCTTCCAGAAGGGATATGGAACCACCGACCCGGAGTGACCCATGATGCCACTACGAATTGGCGCGTGAATCCTTTGTGGAATGAATGACCGACAGCATCCATCGCATGAAAGTCATCAGCACATTATCAAATCAATCATTTTTCATCCTGTCACCGCTCCACCAGGAGCTTGTCCGGATTGCATAATCAACCACGTTAACCAGATCCGCCGCATTGGGCAACGAGGCATCACCAGGGGAAGTAAAATGAAATCTTCTTTGCCCCTTTTGGAGCCTTCTGTTTACCGGTGGGAGAGAATGAAAATGGGTGATATCCACTTCCATGAGGAGCAGTCGATCCGCTTGTGGTTTGAGATGTTGATTGTTTACTGCGGCTTGGCCGTGGCTGTTATTACCTTTCCACTTTTTTCATTTCTCCATGGTTGATCTCAGATAATCAGATTAGGGCTAATTCTGATAGCCAAGCTGGCTTGTGAGCCGAGAAGGTCTGGCTCCCAGTGGAGAAACAACTTCAACCTGGCTTCAAACACGATCCTTCAAAAACATTCCTGCATTGCCTTTTGCTATCAACCAGGCTGAGAGGTGGGTGGGCCAGATGCAAAGAGATTCGCAAATCTGTGTCGCTCTTTTTTGCTGGCATCAAACAGGACAAGCTGTTTCGAGAAATCATGGTCGAATTCCAAGAACGTATATGTCTCTCCCCCCCAGACAGAAAGATTGACGCCATCCTTCATGAAGGTGCTGTACCTGACTTGGTCGCAGAATCGTAGTCCACTGAAGCAAAATTGATCGGACCAAGAGATTGAATGATGAGCCGAGCAGTTGGATGTGGGGTTATTGCGTGGACGAGTTCGCTGGTTTTGAATGGGGGCATGAATTCATGTCCCAAAGAGTACAAGGACCCACCATTGGGTGAATTAAGCGATTTGCTGCACGTTATTACCAACCTTTATTGCTACACTTTGAGATGTCAAGTCGACCTGAATCCGGTAGTCTGAAGGCCACCAAGTATGAAAAAGGGGGGCTGTCCAGTTTTGGATAGGCGCGAACACCTCGGACTGTGCTCCCGAAGAGCGAACAGACCATGACCCATGCCCATGCACTTGGGCAGGGGAAGGTTAGAATAGTCAGGGGTTAAGATGCTTGTCCCGTCCTTTTGAACCCGGATTCCCTGGTCGTCGAGGGGAAGTGGGACTGTTCTTCCCCTGCGTGCCGGACTACTCTTTTCTGGGCGAGCGAGGGGTCAATCTGTCGACTTTCCACTATTGTGTCACTTTGGGGGAATTGCTGTCTTTGGCGAGAGTGTTGCGCGTCTTGTCTTCGTGGGAGAAAGGTTATTTCTCTTATCAAGGTTTAAGCTAAAATAAGGGTCCTCTTTGAAGGCTTGTGATGCTCTTGCTTCGAAGAACATGTAGCGAAGAAGCAATCTGGGAAGCAGTTCGGGCCCGGAAGCATTGGAACCTTCTTGGAGCTCCTGTGACCTGTCAAGATTGCTCATATGTCCTGCTACGGAGCCTGAAACGCAAGTTGAACTAATATGGACAGAAAAGAGGAAATCCTGGGGGGAGCTCATCGAACTGCTGCCACTGAGTCAAGGAAGTTCACTACTGGTCCCTCATCATTATTGGTCCCGCAAGTCAGATTTTCAATAAGTCGGCGATGTTATTGCAATTCCCAAAGAACACCGCGATTGCAATTCAGATACCCCTAAGCGTCCTGTCCCCACCAGCCAGGTGTGACAGTGACAAGCTGCCACCTTTGACACACAGACGTTGGACTGCGTGTGTTTTTACTCGCAGTAATAGCTGTGTCCGGCACTTTGAGCTCTCCCCAGATTTTTGCATTCGTCTGCTAGACTTGGTACGGACAACGTGCAAGCTGCCACAAAACCCTTGGTGATTCTTAAATAATACTGAAGGTCGAAGGACCTCTTTCGGTATTTTCGTGAGAGAGACACGGCAATCGCAATGGCGAGAAGGAAGCCGTTTTGTGCAGTTGATGCGGGCGCGGGTCAACTCTACCATCTACTGCTAGTTCATGGTGGGGTCAGAGACGCCAGAAAACAGCCAGCACCAAACACCAGCTGACCGACGAGTAGCTGTACTGTGCTGCTATAGATGATTCGACTAGGATTTGTTTGTTGTTCGAGAGAGCTGCAGCGGCCGCGGCAGTAGCTCGTCAAACGATCACAGAGAGGGTGCTATGCGTGCTAAGCGTGCTGCTAGGCGAGGAGAAAGTCTAGTAAAACATGCAAAGCTAGCAGCCAACGACGCAGGAGTGCATCGCCCCTGGTCCGTTTCTGGTAAGTATTAGAAGTACGAAGTAGGTGTGACTTTGGAATACTAGGCATTTCCGGAGGACTAGGTCTACTTCGTTCTTCCACTTCGGGGTACTTCTCAGCACACTTGCAGACGGCCTATCGCGCACCTAGTCGTCTAGTCCTGAAGGGCAACCATCCCCAGATATTAGCCGTTCACATCGCAGGGTTGGCGCAGCATCTTTTCTCTTCCGCCATGCCATTGGGGAGGCTAACTCGTCTAGCATGACATGACTAGGTGTGTATCTGGTGCATGCTCCAGGTCCACTCCACTGTTGCACAGTTCCACTGGTCATGGCCTTGCCCTTGCCAATGCCCAAGCGATGGCTCCACTCCCAGGGTCTGCCACGCGCAGGGAAGCATACTGGGCGTGCAAGGAACAGCGTTTCCGTCTTTCCCAGGGAGTCGATGGAGCTTAGCTTTGCCTGCCTGTATGGAGTAGCTGCTACTTCTACTAAAGTTGCTGGGCTGGACTGGGCGAGCAGATTTCATCTCCTGTCCTGGCCTCCTGGTGTTGCGGAATCCACCCTGCACTACTCTCTTCTCTCTCCACCCTCACACTCCACCCTCCCCTCCGTACCTGACGGGTGATGCTCCACCAAAGAGCCACATGCACTGCACTGCACGCAAGTCCAGACAGGCTGCTCCTCATGGGCTCTCATGGGCTCTCATGGGCGGTCCTGGTCGCTCCTGCTCCCTCCTGCTCTCCTGGTCTATCCTGGGCTCTCCACTTGTTATGTACAAAAACGGTGTTGTCCTCTGACACGGACTCCACCCAAGACCACCACGCTTCCGGAGAACGAACTGCAGGTGGAGCTGTCGAAGATAGGCCCGTCACGCTGCAAAGTCCCTGGCCGAGGATCCCTTCATAAGGACTTCGTCGTCCATGGTGCATTTCGACTTTTAGTCAGGATTGCTGCTGTATTGCTACGAGTATTGCCATTGACATTGCCATTGCTTCGCTTTGCTGTTTTTAGTGATCGCTTTCGTTCTTGCTATTCATCCACCATCCATTGCAATTGCCATCATTGCCCTTTCTACTCACAGTACTCTTAACTCACTTCCACCATCTTACCTTTACCAGCGCCACTTACCCGCACTCGACTCGTGTGATTCTATATCATCACACATACACACTCTTTACTTTGCTCTCTGCTCTTCACTATCCACCCATTTATCCCAACGTCTCAACGAGACACACCAGTCAAGGCGTACATTGTACATACTTCACCACCAGCAAAGCTACACTAAGCAACCTCCTCCACACCCCAATAATCTTCCGCTTGTACACAGACCGTTCTGCCAGAGCTTGTTCCTGTCCGCTTCGACCTTCCAGCTACTCCAGATACACTTCCACTTCCCGCGTCTAAAAAGTCATTCTACTACTGCTCTCCCGCCACTACGAATCGTCTGCTACAACTGACAAGAATGGTCCCTGTTTCGAACTCTTAACCACCCGGCAGACCAACACTTGGACTGAAAGTCGAAACAACTTGTTGAACTAACTCGGCTCCACCAATTCTCCTACCCGCTGCCGAGAACCTTTCTTCTCCTTCGCCGTTCACCCACGCTTGCTAGGCCTTCCACCCCACAGCCACTCGCATCAAAAAGATTAAAACCAGGGACAACGTTAGTCAAAAGGCAATATACTGCCCAGTGATCGTGCGCCCCGCCTTACCCTGTTGAGTGACAAGGAAATATCTCAAGAGTATGTAAACAGCCCTCCTCCCTTCACCAACCAGCTTTGTCAGTCCTGATCCTGACCTGCTTCAGATCTCCCTCAGCCTTAGTGATCTCACAGGCCCTTGGGCTTATATACTCGTCAGGCCCCAAGCACTCGCACAGATCTGAACATCAGAAGAACTATTTGCTCGCGCCCCTTCTACTTCCACCTTGCAAACCGACATACCATACTGTCTACCAAATTTGACTCTTGCCGTGCACCTACCTGTCTCAGCATCTAATTTGATCCTTCACTCGCCTGCTATTCAGTCCATCTGGAGAACCAGCTACAACCAAATATCACTCACTCAGTCGAGCAAGAAATATCCGCCAAGATGGACGTTATGGAATTGGTGGAGAACGAACCCAACGCACGCCCGTTCCAGTGTGACTGGCAAACATGTACCAAGGTTTGTAGTACTGCCATAGGACACTGAGACCTGCCACTGACTTTACTACAGAGCTTCAACAGAAAATCAGATCTCCAAAGACATTATCGAATTCATACAAATGAGCGACCCTACTCATGTATGACACCGGGATGTGGAAAAAGCTTCATTCAGCGAAGTGCGTTGACAGTTCACATTCGAACTCATACAGGCGAGAAGCCACATCAATGCCAGCATATTGGGTGTGGAAAGCGATTTTCAGATGTGAGTAAAGTTGAAGGTTTAAATTAAGCTTGTGATATTAATCTGATCTAGTCATCGAGTCTTGCAAGACATCGTCGTATTCATACTGGAAAGCGCCCATATAAATGCGCCCACGAAGGCTGCTTGAAAAGGTGAGTTGAGGTTGTGAATTTAGGCTAAATTACTCTGCTAATAGCATCCCTAGCTTTTGCCGAAAGACAACGATGGTCAAACACCAACGACGCTCACACCAACGAGGAGTCCACTCATCTGAGATGGAAGATGGCGAGACTTCTGATTCCGACTCGGGGGAGTCTCCTTCCACACCCCAACACCCAGGACAAGTTCATTGGCCTCAGGCTGTTGGTGTATCTCACCACTCAGTGATGCCCCACGGTGCCCAAATTCATCGTGCTCACTCCTTTGCCGACTTTGGTCATCACCAAATTAACGAATATCCACTGCCTCCAAATTACGGCGCTCACCGACACAGTCTCTCGGGCGGACCTCAGTACGGCAATGGCTCGATACCAGAACAACATGCACACCCGAACCCTATGATGCACCGAGCTCCAAGTCTGCCCGCTCATGCTTCCTATTACGTTCCTGAGCAGAACAACCCAGGAGTCGCGACATTAAATACCAACCCGCCACCAATTCAAACTTATGGAATTCCACGTCAGCCTCTAGAACACTCACACGAGGCCCTTCAAAGCAGTCCTAGCAGCTACTCGTCCGCCTCGAGGTCAAGTCCAGTCTCACAAGACCCGTACTACACACACCAATCAGCTCAAGCAGCCACATACGCCTTGCACAACTCATCACCCATCGAGCAACAACAGCCGATTATGCACTATCAGCTACCGCAGCAATCGCAAATAGGACCCATGCCGGTCACTGCCCCTCAATCCGCCCACTCTCAAGAGCACTATCATCCAGCACCTTCACACGACGGCCAATGGTATGACAGCGTAAAGTACGAGAATGTGAAGTATGACAACGTCGGTTACCAACCCCCAGTAGAAGTCATCAGTGCTGTTCAAGGCTTCCCTCATAACACGGTCTTCCAAAATCCATGGATTCAAAAGATCGAGTCCTTCGATGACCCCTCGTTACAAATGCCTAGTGCGCGTATCGAGAACCTTTAAAGGTACTTGCTTATCGGTAAACCCTCCTCAGACTTGTACAGTCTCGACATCTCCGAAAACATTTTCGTAATTTCTTGTTCTTGAATAATCGGCAACGTTATACCCCCGGGACAATGTGGGACTCAACAGAACCACCACCTTCCATTAATCCACCATATCATATTTTTATTATCATTACTGGAAAAGGCATATCTTTTCCCGAATGCATCGTCCACCGACTAGTCAACCAACAATCCCCATTCCGTTGTCTCCTGTGTACCATCTCTAACCAACATCATCATCTCACGATATCTATCGATACCCACTAAATAAACGCCTTTTTAAAAGCGACAAACGAGCACTCCGATCAACGTACCGAGTCTATTCTCTCTCCACCACACCCGATATCTTCGAAGCTTTAATGGCGGTTTCTCGTCTTGATCCGACTGGGTTTCTTACCTCTCTCAACAACCGTCTTGTTCATTCCTTTTAGCATCTCTATCTCTCTTTCACCATATATCTATCTAATCTTATGTAATGTTGACGTTATTTGGGGAGAAGCTGTCCGTATATATTTAATGAGGTTGCATATTCTCTAAAGATAACGAGTTCCCGTTTACGAGAATGGGAATGACTCTCAAGACGCAAGAGGAGTTTTTTTTTGCTTATCAATCGCCTTTCGTTTTTGTATCTATTATATGGCCAGCCTTTCACGTCTGCATTGGGGAAGGAAAATTTCCTATCTTTTTTTTTGTTTTGTTTCTTTTGTTGATAGCTTCTTTTGCAACCGGGTAGGAGTCTGGGGAGAAATCTGTACTTGTGTAACATCACGCATCAATTCTTTTTTATAACTCTCTCATTATTTAAAAAGGAGGAGAAGGTGGATAGGAGAACGATAGGATGGGTATATATAGCTCTGTAATTCTAGTGGATATAAGTAAATACATACAAATTAAAAATATCACATCGCTGTCTGTCCTTGTCTTGATATGGTTGGTGCCTTGGTGATTAGCTACTTGGATGAATTGTTTTTGTGATTGGGGTATTGGGATCGCCTGCGGGTGGGGGGTTTAATTGGTAGCCAGCTACTTTGTGACTTTGTTTTTCTGATATAGATTTGAGGGAGTGACCATTGTCTTTTGGTATGGTATTTTGGTTGGTCTAGGGTCGTGATGTTAAATCAAACAGTTGGAAAGATAAAAGGTGGGGGACTCTAGGAGTTATCTATTGTGGCTCTGGTTTGTTTACGGTGGGGTTGGTTGAGATAATGATGATGTGGGAGAACGTCGAATTAAGCTTAATATAGTCATCTATTACAGTTGATGCAGACTGATTGTGTTTTCCTTGAGAGGGTGATCATAGTGAGCCACCATTATCACTACAATTTAATTGAGTTCAAGTCCTGTCAAAAGGGGGGTTCTTGATCGGAACGTTCTGATGGTGAATCGGCTCTCGGCCCGACAAGGCATCCGCCATGAGTCAGCAACGACGTATTTTGTGGATGGCCTCCCGTCAACATGGCATTGCTGCAGCGTCCCATAATCGACAACATCGACAAGATCCCAAGGGCTGGACAATCCGCGGGCCTTTGATACATTCTTTATTCTTCCTTCGATTACCGTATTCTTTCGAGTCTCTAGGTCGGATCAAATTACCTTGCGCCGGGCTGGGGGTTCAACGTGTGGTTGGGAGTCCGATCCTCGGCAACATCAACTTTCAACATGAATCCTGCTTTGTCGGCAAGTTATTCCGTCTTTTGGATTCCAGTGTATCTCGGTTGACCGGAAGAAATTATACTAACTACAGCTTCACAGAATACGATGGTGGCGCGTTGGATAGCGAGCGGAGGAGTAGCGGAGAAGTTGCCACAAGTGTTATTTCGAAGGGCATTTGCGATTCAACCAGCAAGACTATTTTCTTCGTCTTCGCAGACGGTAAGAAGTTTCGTTCGGAATCCCCAATTAGTTGTCAAACAAGTTTCCAATGCTAACGCAAGCCTTCGCAGGCAATCCCCTCGAATTGCCACAGTGCGGCACGCTTACCATCTTCGAACTCGAGCATACTTTCCTATACTTCCTTCAATACTTCTAGAAACGGTATCGCAAGCTCGAAATCGAAATCGCATACTGTATTCCGCAAGGCCATTCCTATAGCAACCCAATGTCGACAAGTCTCATCCATTCGTTCTCTCTCAGAAGCATCCATCTCATCTACAGCAAACAACCAGGTTCAGCGAAGAGGGTTCTTCGGAAATGCCAATAACAATAATCTTACGGTTCTCGAGGAAACAGCCAACAGAAACCCACAAAGCGCTATTGCTCAAAATGCCTTCTACCAAGCACTTCTACGCGCCAATATGCCTGCCATCATTGTGGAACGTTACGAAACCAATGCCTTTGTCACCAACGCTTCTTGTGAAGCTGCATATCATCTAGCTTTGGGTGCTACCAGTAAATCAACTACCACTAATGACGGCCAATCCAATTCTGCCAATGCTTCTCAACTTCAGGCTGTCGGCCAGGCAGTTGCTGCTCAATCTCGAGGTGCAAACATTGGTGTTGCAGCCGCCGTAGGTTCAGGCAACGGTACTGGGTCCGGAAAGGGAGATCCCATTCACGTTGTAGTGCAAGAAAGTATTGGTCACACAGTTTTCAAATGGTTCAAGCTCTTATTATACTTCGGTCTAACCACCTACATTTGCATGATGCTAATAACTGTACTCATCGAGACTGTTGCACCCTTCAAGAAGTCTGGCGGCCCTGGAAAAACTGATGGCGAAGCCCGAGCTGAAAACCAAACTGTCCGATTCTCTGATGTCCATGGTTGTGACGAGGCAAAAGAGGAGCTGCAAGATCTTGTGGAATTCTTGAAGAACCCTGAAAAGTTCTCTACTCTCGGTGGTAAGCTTCCAAAAGGTGTGCTCCTTGTTGGTCCTCCTGGTACTGGAAAAACTCTTTTGGCCCGGGCAGTTGCAGGGGAGGCTGGCGTTCCATTCTTTTTCATGTCTGGATCCGAATTCGACGAGGTCTACGTTGGTGTTGGCGCAAAGCGAGTTCGTGAATTGTTTGCCTCCGCCAAGGGAAAATCACCTGCTATTGTGTTCATTGATGAACTTGATGCTGTTGGAGGAAAGAGAAACACAAGAGACGCTTCTTATCACCGACAAACTCTCAATCAACTTCTCACCGAACTTGACGGATTTGAACAAAACAGCGGAGTTATCATTCTTGCGGCAACCAACTTTCCCGAACTTCTCGATAAAGCTCTGACTCGACCAGGACGCTTCGATCGTAATGTCGTTGTTTCTCTCCCTGATGTTCGTGGTAGAATTGAAATTCTCAAGCACCACATGAAGAAAATTGTTGTTGGTCAAGACGTTACCATTGAGACTTTGGCACAAGGCACCCCTGGATTCTCCGGTGCTGAGTTGGAAAATGTGATCAATCAGGCTGCAGTCCATGCTAGCAAAGCGAAAGCACAAGCAGTATCAATGCTTGATTTTGAATGGGCCAAAGATAAGGTTACGATGGGTGCTGAAAAGAAAAGTATGGTGATTACCGACAAGGAGAAGGAAATGACAGCTTTCCATGAAGCTGGCCATGCTCTCGTCATCATGTTTTCCCCCCGTGCCAACCCGTTACACAAAATTACTATTCTACCTCGTGGGCATGCCTTGGGTGTTACGTTCAGTCTTCCTGAAATGGACGTTTACTCCGTATCCAAGGATCAGTATGAGGCTAAAATAGATGTGTTCATGGGTGGCAAGGTCGCAGAAGAACTTGTTTATGGCTCTGAAAAGGTCACAAGTGGTTGCTCGTCTGTGAGTACTCCCTCATCCCCCATTTTTCCTGCTGAAAGCATTCACTAATTCACATTCATAGGATCTTCAAGGGGCTACGCAAATCGCTTATTCGATGGTTGTAAATTGTGGCATGTCTCCCCTTTTAGGGAACGTTGACTTGTCCTCCAATTACAGCAATCTTTCAGCCACTACCAAGCAATTGGTTGAATCCGAAGTGCGCCGTATTATCGAGGAAGGACGTGTTCGTGCGACGAAAATTCTGACGGAGCACCGAAAGGAACTTGACCTCCTCGCGAAGGCCTTGATCGATTACGAGACGTTGGACAAGGTCGAGGCCTTCAAAGTTATCAGAGGTGAAAAGCTCGAAGGCAAGCCCGTTACCTCAGGTGTAGGAATCAAGGTACCCAAACTTGAACTACCACCGATCCCTGGATCTGGGAATGATGGTGGAAAGGAGCCTCCTGTGGGTGGTGCTGTTGCTTAAATCCTTTCCTTTGACCGGGTGACGAGGAAGAATGATCAAAATCAACTCTTTGGGGGTTTTTAGAGGCGTTAATTCTTTCACTCCTTTTTGTCCGTAAGTTTTATATCGATTGAATGGAACTTGTTGGGGTCTGAACCGGCTAGCTAGTCGGTCGGTGAAGCAAGGGATGACATTTGTGTCGAGTATAGATGGATATATCCACTCGGAAGGACGAAGTTGGCAACCTTTGGTATGGGGTTGGTTGGCTTTCCATGCGGAAATTCTTGTGTCATTGCCGCAAATGAGATCAAGTATAGCGAGCAACGCTTGGGAAGGAAGCCAAGATGCATGGGGATGTAGGGAGGGAAGGAGTAGGTGTTTGTGTGATTCTATAGCTATTCTAGGTAGCTAGCGTAGCGTATAGTAGCGAAAGGAAGATGAAGAACAGTTTTTAGAGCCTGTTGTGTCTCTTGTTCTTCCTTATATATTTTGTTTTTTTATTCAGATTTCTTTTCTCTTTCCGTCTTTTTTTCTTTTAGGTTAAATGGCTGGTTAGTTTGTTTCCCCGAATAAAGTGATTATAGGTATGATAGTAGGTTTATATTTGTATTTAGTATAGAGTAATTTATTACCTAGGTAGGTAGGTAGAGAGTAACCTCGATTATACTCTCTAAGAGACGTGGTTGTTACTCTGTAACTCGCTTATTCTATCCAAGGTAGGCGTAAACATTACTAGTGATTCACTACTTTATTTACTACTCTATATATATAAGTACTATATATATATATATATATATCTATTGGGATACGATGGCTTAATACCTATACGTAGTATATCCTATAAACCTAGGATTTTATTATCCTAGAGCTAAGATTAAGCGCAAAAGAGGGAATAGAGATTTCTAGAGTTATTAGTATAGTAGTAGCGATAGAAGCTGGCGGTAAGGCTAGATTATAGAGTTTTTACGCCGTATATAACAATTTTAATAATAGGCGCTAGATATTTACTAGACCTTCGAAGTAAAGTAAATAAACCTAGCCGGATAAACGATCGATTTTCGAACAGAAGTAATAAAGGCGAACGATATAAAGAAGGGATAAGATAGAAGTATAAGACAAAAGACCCTAGTGTAACGAATACTCAAACTGGCTAACTAAACTTGGCTGGGTGTTCGCTGGTTGGTATGCTATGATAAGAAGAAGACTATCGGGTTGTTCACTTGGAAGTGAACTCGTTACTTGTATCAAAGATGTCAAACTAATATGATAAGATTGATAACTAAGTTGAGCACGAAGCTCCTATCTAATGGCAGACGTGCCAGTCTTATATAGAACCTTCATACCCCGCGTATGGTCCGAGTATAGAGTAGTATAAGCCTCCCTTATACTTCCTCATACTCCGGTAGTATAGAGTAGTATAAGCCTCCCTTATACTTCCTCATACTCCCTAGTCACATGATCTTCTGTAAGGAAGAAATCCTTGGATCGCCTAGCTACCCTAAGCGATCCCCATTTGCTATAAGAAATCTGAATGTGCCTGTCGAGGGTTGCGCCTTTTATTATGACAAGTATCACGTGAACACGTGATTCGTGACACCTAGAGCTAAAGGAGGCCTTATTAACCTCTACCGCTAGAAGCGTAGCTTAGAGCGTGTTTTCCGACAATGTTAAGCCTTAATATCCTATAGGGGAAAACTACTTAGAAGGTCTATAATAGAGACCCTTAGGACCGTAGGGTAAAAGTAGCTCTTATACTCTACTAGCTAGAATTATAAGCGAGAAAAGTCTTATAGTATATTCACTCGATTAGGTAGCTACACTCGACCTTACAGGTGTAGGGCTTGGCACCACTATATAATAGTGGTGCCCTAGCCTACTACCTTTGCTCGGTATCGAAGTGTATTAACAATAGGAATAGTCTAATACTAAGGTTTAGCCTCCTCCTATATTACACCTTATATTTGACAATAAGTCAAACTAATAAGTATATATACGCTATAGCTTTAGGGTAATAGAGCCTAATAGGGTCTAAAACCCTAAGTAAGCCTATAATATTATAAGGTAGCGTATTGTGAGGGCGTGAATGTGGCTCGGTATAGTGTTTTGGTGCTTCGCTTAGTGAATGCAATAGTGGGTTGGAGTTGCCTAATCGGAGATAGTATGGAGCTGCCTAATGGGGAATAGCGTGGCCTCTTGTTGTGTATAAGTAATAGCTAGCTCTAGGACTTCTTAGCTGACTCGCGATCAATCTCAACCATATTCTGGAACAGTCTTTTGTACGTTCCTAGTGATACCCTGACACGTATTCGATAGTAAATAACTAGTTTACTCCCTAAAATTATATAATATAAATAGTTTTTTTAACTAGAAAGAAACTTAGAGTATAGACGTCTAAGAAAGGCTAGGAATAAGGTATATAAAGCGCTTATAAGAACGATATAAGGTTAATATATTAGTTCTAAGTAAAAAGTTCTTTTATCATGTTTTTTAGTAGTAGAATATTATACCTTAATATTCTAGGATTAGAGTTTACTAGGTACTTAGCTCTATACGTAGACGGGAGTCTTAGATAATCTATATAATATACTATTCGACGATATTATAACTTAATATTATCTCGGAAAATAGGCTCTTATCTCTACTAGATATAAATCGAACAACTTAAAACAAAGAAGGTAATACGTAGTAATAGTAGGTAAGGGAAACCGACGCTAAGTATAGGGAAGAGAGACTAAGTAGGAGGGGGAAAGAGAGTAGAATCGTAGTATAATAACCGTTTATATACTAGGTCGCTAGAAGGGTACGTAGTAGCTATATAATAGATAGGAGCTCCCTAGCTACTAGTATACTAGCTACTTTCGGAAGGTACTAAGGGGGTATAGGGGCTATATAGTATATATTATATAGCCTACTCCTCCTTAGTAAGACTACTAATATCGAGGGGCCTCGTTCCCCCTCGAGGGGTAAGATTAATAGTATTTTGATATATATATACGATTTTATATACGATTCTATAAAGTCGGCTAATAGGTGTACGCTTTAGAACGAAGGGATGGTAGGAAGGTATAGTAGGAACGGGAAGGCGGATAAAATTAGGCTCGGAGTTAGATCTAGGTACCCTAATAGCTATAAGCGTACGAAGGTACCTTAAGGCTAACAGGCGAGTAGTTGAGTCTCGTACTAAATAGAAGATAGCTATACTATAGTAGAATACGAGCGCGACCCGTAGGAATATAGGTATATAAGGTATAGGAGCAGGGTTTTTTTTTAAGGTTCTCCGAAGCCTAGAAATAGTAGTTTTCTTACCTTTTTTACCTGTTTCCTATACTATACGACGACCAAGATTAGTTAAAGGACCGTATACCCTTCGGGTTATAACGGCGTGTAATAATAATAATTATATATCTCTATTATAAAATCTCGTCTTTAGAGACGTCGTACACGTGATAAGAGAGCTAAAGCCGTAGCCATTCTAGCTATATATAGTAAGATTTACATTCGCCGCGTCTTTATACTATGAGAGTTACTTCCTCTATATAAACAGTGTTTGATTCGTGTGTAACTCCGAGTTATACTCGATAAGCGAGTATGATTTTTTGCGAGTTTTGTGAAATTCTTGGTTTGGCGTATGCTTCTGGATATATTAACCTCTGTGAATCTGAGCTAGATAGGCTGTGGAGTAACCGAGATTGTGCTTGATTTTGTTTGTTGGAGGCGGAGGAAATGTATGTGCACAAGTTTTCTAGGGCGGCTGAGGCCAGCAACAGGGTAAAGCTAGTACACTTTTATGTCTTTCGCTTGTGACGAAGTACTGAATGAATTCTGGGTTCCTTTTTTGGGCAAGGATTTATGGATGATGACACCTCGATACAAGGATGTTCCTGCATTTTTGGGGGCTCACAAGAGCTTTTTTTGTGCGAAATATATCTCTGTTATACTAGAGATTGGAATTATATCGTTCTAGTATTTTGATGAAGGGCGTATTTGTGTGGAGTGCTGAAGAGTGCCCGGATATCTGGAAAGAGAGTTGTATTCAAATGGTTGTCCAGCTGACTACTTTGGGGCCAGGGTTGTGTAGCCCTAATTCAAGCTCCTTGTTCCCACTAGAAGCGTACTGAATGGAACCAGTGGAACCTGGCGGACTCCTTGTTCCATGTGATAGAAACCACTTGTCAGAAACTATAACATATTTCAAAAGCAATCCTATTGGATTCGAAGTAATTTCTTATATATTTAGGTACAAAATAGGATCCGGTTATAAGATCAAGGAAACATGTGCCCATTATGTCATATATTCCTAGTACTTGAATATGCAACCTTGTCTTCGCCAATGCCAAGACTCTCGCTATGAGGATAACCCCAGTTGTATCTTGAGGAATTCTGCCCCCGAGTGTATTATTATATCGAAATTTTTGCGTACTAACGTTACAGCAAGCGTATCCTTACACCTAAAAATCCAAACGCACATGCATATTTTTAATATTTGTACAACCAAGAGATAGCCAATGCTTTGCATAGTGCTTCGTCACAAGCGAGATAAATGTAGGATTTTCAGGGGGTTTTGACCGGTTACTTGCCTTAGCCACCCTAGAAAACTTACATTTATTTCGCCTGGGACGAAGTACTTGAGACAAAGATAAAATATGTTTGGGAATCTTAGTATGTGACAAGTAGGCTGTTCCTTGATTCGGCTACTGAAGATAGACATGTTTTTCTCACTCTGCACCGCTATTCACAAGTATATATGAGATACAATGGTCCCGCTAGCATTATCGTTTCCCTCTCGAGCTCGCATTATCCAACTTCCTATCATTTTCACCCGCACTATCCAACTTCTAACGCATTCTGCTATAGCAAATATGAGAGTCACTCAAGTTATCGCACTTTTCACTACTACCTTTTTTGGAGTCAACGCCGCGTGCACAGCAGGATTTTCACAGTGCCGAAACAGTTTCGATGTTCAGGGCACTCAATACTCTTTCAACTGCGATTATCCAGGCGAGGTTCCGTGCCTCGTGGGC